CAAGTAGGTGCTTTAGACCACTGAGCCATCTCTCCAGCCCCTTTCTTCTCATTTTTTAAACTTTTCTTTCCTCCCCTCTTGTTACAAAATTTTCTTCCTATTTCACATAATGTTAATTTAAAATTTAAAAATTTTAAAGTGTTAATATTTAACATGCATTTTTTTAATGTCACAAGGGAATGCTTTGTTTTCCTATCTACTTTGAAAACTGGTATTTTTATCTTTTCCCTATTACAAAGGTATGCATTATATTTAATTGTGCTTATTATATAACCCTTGTAGGCTCTCTTGTGATTCTTTTGGTCAAATGTGTGGTTTTTGTGTTTGTTTCGTCTTTGGTTTGTTTTTTTGTTTTTTTTTTTTTTTTTTTTTTTTTTTTTTTTTGGTTTTTTGGCTGAATCAGAGATTGAACTCAGGCCCTTGCGCTTGCCAGGCAAATGCTCATTCTACTGAGCCATCTCCCTGGCCCCTTGTCTTTGGATTTTTTGAAAGGAAGTCCTGCTATATAGTTCAGGCTGACCTTAAATTCATTACATATGTAGCCCAAGCTGGTTTGGAACTTGCAGTCATTCTCCGGCTTCAGTCTCCCAAGTGCGGAGATTACAGGCTGCACCACCATACCTAGCTGCCCAAAAGTGTTAAAAGATACATGTAATTTTAATTGATATCACTGATTTTGCAGGTGTGTTTGGTTATTAAATCATCTTATGTTTGTACCTGTACAAAAGATAAGATTGGTGAAGCCTTTAGGTTTTGTTATTGTTTGCTGATTTAACTATTCTGTGGATACGTATTTCCTTTTCTGTGAATAATTTTGCCAAATTTATGGATATTTAATAAATGTTTAGTGAACTGAATTCATACCTTTGGTCACACAGGATTCCATTAACACATGTCAGTTACTGTGTAAACTAGCGGACAAGTAATTGTAGTTGAGAGAATTACCAAATCTGAATAACTAGTTTACATTTTTCACTCCTGAATTTTTGTTCAGTGCATTTGCTGAAGAAAACTCTGCAGAAATGTGAAAAGAATGGGTGGATGGAGCAGATCTCTGGTAAAGGATTCAGTGGCACCTTCCAGCTCTGTTTTCCATATTACCCAAGGTGAGCACTTACCCCTAAGTGAGGTATTGGTCATTAGGAATTTAAAATCTGACTCTTTGAGTCACAGGGTTAGTTTAATTTTTTTTTTTGGGGGGGGGTTAATTTTATCGTCATTACTGTACACTAAACTGGAAATAATTTGAACATAAAGACCTCAGGCAATATAATAAAATATGAAAAATGGTTCCTAAATAACCATAGGGGAGTTTGGCTATACTGTGCATTTAACCAGGATTAGAAGACTTTTCTTGTGAAGATACCTTAGAGATCATGCTACTGATGCATTAACCACCACCTGTGTGAAAACTAGAAGAGAGCTCCCAACTTTAATGCCATTTTCATAGAAACCTCTGCGCCATGAGAGATAAGCAGAGGAAGAAGTGACTGTGCAGGCTGAAATATAAAAGAAGAAAAATTCGGGGAGAGGTTCAAGTAAAATAGCTCCTATACCCATGAAAGCCAAAGGAGCAGAAATAAAGAATGCTGGAGGGCCAGCCAAATAGCTCAGCAGATTAAAGCACCTGCAAACAGGTACAAGGACCAGGGGTTCAATATCCGGGCCTGCTGTGCCAGCCCCGCCCCCAGGATGTGCTGAGATGGCAGCTGAGACTGGGCGTGGTGGCGCACACCTGTAATTCCAGCTCTTGGGAGGCTGTAAACAGGCAGATCACTATGAATCCGATCTAGTAGTGAGACCCTGAATATCCTGTAGACCCTTCCCTAAGAAAAAAACAAACAAAAAAAAGAATGCTGGAGGCTGACAACACTTGTATTAAGTTTTAGACTGCCTGCTATCTAGAATTTCTGAATGGATTAGAACTTCATTGCCATCTGATCACCAAGACCACCTCAGAGATCTACCTGGTTCAAACGAAGCAGTCCCTCGATTTTTTGCCCTGGACTTGTGGCATTCTGGACTATTTTTTATGCTTTTGGCTGAGTATAAAATGTACAGTAGGGGCCAGGGAGATGGCTTAGTGGAATAAGTGCTTCCCTGGCAAGTACAAGGGCCTGAGTTCAATCCCTGGTTCCGCCAAAATAAAACACACAGTAAATCATTTCTTCTGTGTTAAAGAAAAAACTAGAAGAGAATAGCTTTACAGACTTGCCATTTACAAAAAAAAAAAAAAAAAAGCTTATTTATTACTAGATAACTGCTGAAGCCAAGCATCAGATTCTTTGAAGTCTTTGGATAATTGTTTCAGTATTCATTCTTTCTCTATATAAAATACATTTTTATTTCAGTCGGTTTTTTGAGGGGTGGGTTGTTTTTGTTTTTAAGTACTGAACTTTATTTATATATTCTTGAATGTTTGGGGGTTTTTTGAGACAGGGCTGTATTGAGGTAGGATCTCTGCAGAGCAGGCTAGTCTTAAACTCACTGTGATATAGCTTAGGTTGGCCTTAAATTCATGGTGATATCCTACCTCAGCCTCCCAAGTGCTGGGATTACATTACGGGAGTGTGCCATCATGCCTGGCTTCTATTTTACATCACAATGCTAGAAGACTATCAAGATAATTATGCATTGGGGCTGGTGAGATGGCTCAGTGGTCTAAAGCACCTACTTAGAACAAGCTTAGCAAAGCACAGGGACCACGGTTCAATCCCCCAGCACCACATGCCAGCCAGCCCTGCCCCCTGGTGGGCTGAGCTGGCCACACACACACACATTAAAAAAAAAAAAAAAAAGATAATTATGCATAAGTCATGATTGTCCGCTATGAAGTGGGAGAACATTGACTGCTTTCAAGAATCCACACTCTGCCTTCATACTTTAGAGACAGGGACGTTTATTTGGAAACCTGTCTTTTGTACATATTTTTTTTATGCATTAAAACAAAAAGATGTATTAAATGCCTCTTCTAGGCTATGCATTATTCTGTGCACTGATGCGATTCTCCTAATGTATTTACTCCTAGTAAGTCCTGTGGCCTGTACCACTAAGACCCCGTTTTAGCCACACTACAGTGTAACTATCTTACTTGTATGTAAAAATATTACTTGGTACTTGGTTGAATGAGTAATTTTTCATTAAGCTTTTGCCTTTTCTCTTTTTCTCTTTTTGTGTGAGTGGTGGTGGTGGTGAAGATTTAAATCCAGGGCATGGGGCCAGGAAAATGGCTCAGTAGAATAAGCACTTGCCTGGCAAGCGCAAGGGCCTGAGTTCAATCCCTGGTTCTACCCCCCCAAAAAAATAAAAAGTTAAAAAAATTAAGAATAAACCCAGAGCATACTACCTTCCCAGCTTTTTTTAAATTTTTAAGACATAGTTTCACTAATTTGCCCATGCTGGCCTTGAACTTCTGGAAGCTGGGGCTACAGGCATTCTTTAGCATGCCCAGCTATACCATTAAATTTAATACTTAAAGTCAAAACCATAAAATGCCAAAATTTAAGTGCATATCAATCAAAAGAATCAAGATTGCTAACAGGGACAAAGACTTAGGATATCCTTGCCAGGTTTCACTAAGACTTTGGAGATACTTAAATTTCTGAGGTCTTTTGCCAGTTTTGTTTTGTTTCTGCAGTTCTAGGAACGTAGTGCAGGGCCTTCATGCTGAGATATATCCCCAGCCCTTTTTATTTATTTTTGTTACCTTTTGAGGCAGGGTCTCACTAAGCTGCCCGTGTGAACTCATTGTTCCTTTGCCTCAGCCTCCTAAATGCTGGTGTAATAGGTGTATGCCACAGCATCCAGCTTTTGCCAGTATTGTTAAACCAAAAGGTCTGTACTGCTATGTAGACTGTTTACGGTCCTAGACCATTTGCTGCTGTGTACTTATGCTAGATGTAGGAGTTTAATAAATACTTACTGGGGAGTGGTAGCAGATGCGGTGGCTCACACTGGTGATCCCAGCACCCAGGAGCCTGAGGCAGGAGGATCACCATGATCCTGGGCTACATGTACATAATGAGACCCTATCAAAAAATAAAAATACGAACATGAGTAAGGATCCATTTTATTAAATGGTAGAAAAGAAGGGAGTAAGATATGCTTTGAGACTTTTCATAGGTTTGTCGTGATTTTGTATGTTCAAAAATAGGTTAAATTGTAATCTAAAATTTATTACCTAACTTCACATTTGTGAGAGAGGGAAACAGAAATCAGAAATGTCCATTGAGAAGTGTATAGGTTAGCATTCTTTTCCTTGTGCTATGTGAAACTTCTGGGGAGTTTTTTATTTTGTTTTGCTTTCCTTTAGCCCAGGAGTTCTATTTCCAAAGAAAGAGCCAGATGACTCCAAAGATGAGGAAGAAGATGAAGATGAAGATGAGTCATCAGAAGACTCTGAGGATGAGGAGCCGCCACCTAAGAGGAGGTGTGGATGAATGGTTGGGAGACCCTTGTTGGCAGGGTGATGAATGAGCCAGGCTTGGTAGTGTACATATGCTGTCTCAGCTACTTGGGAGGCTGAGGCAGGAGGATTGCAAGTTTGACGCCAGTCTGAGCAGCTTAGCAAGACTGTTTCTCAAAATAAAAGAATTTAAAAAATATCTGTTGATCTTCTCTTGTTGCTGGGGTAAATACCTGACACTCAAACTTAGGGAAAGAAAGGTCTATTTAGCTCACAGTCAGTGGAGGTTTCAGTTTGTACTCAGCTGGCTCCAAGGCAGAGTGGCATATGGCAGAGGGCAGCCATTCATGGCAGTGGAATACAGCAAAACAAGAGCAAGTGGGAGGACCAGCGGCAACAATGGCTACAGAGAGCAAGTCTGTCTCCCTTATGTTGCATTCGGGCTATCTGCCCCAGGCTGGGTATAGCACTCACCCATAATCCCAGAGGATCATGAGTTTAATCACAAACTCTAGAAGTCTGCCACATGAATGCATGTGGCTTTGTGAGGACAATGAGACACAGACCATAACAAAGGGTTATGGATGTAGTTCAGTCGTTAGTTCAATCCCCAGTACATTAATAAAAAAAAAAATCTTAGAGTATAAAATGATGCCAATATTCCAATATTTACAGATCCTGAATGCAGAGAAGTGTTTTCGCCACTCTGGCTTCTCTGGGTATTTTGTATAACATTTGAATTTATTGTTTTCTTGAAAAGGCAGTAACTCTGAATTAGAAATTTCAAGCAATTTGAGTACATAATGTACTCCTTGGCAAAACATGTATATATCCATAGTTATTTAAAGAAAAATAGTTTCATGTTTTCCTTGGGAAAATATCATGATTTCTATGAGTTGGTTGAATTTTTTTACAGTTTTAATAAGCTTTCTAGTTCATTAAATTAAATCATATTCCTCTTTCTTTCCATTGGTGAAGTCTATGAGTACCATTTCTCTTTAGACAAAGTACCTAGATGTCCTGACAAAGTCAATCTTTTCATGTGTTGAGTGACTAGTCGACTTTGCTTTCTTGTTTTCACAGATTGCAAAAGAAAACTCCAGCCAAGTCCCAAAGGAAAGTGGCACCCATGAAGCAGAGAGGATCCAAGCCTGCACCTAAAGTTCCAGCCGCTCAGCGGGGAAAAGCTAGGCCCCTGCCCAAGAAATCCCCTCCTAAGGCCAAAACTCCTGCCAAGAAAGCCAGACCCTCACCCTCAGTCATCAAGAAATCGAGTGGTAGCTCCGTGAAGAAGCCTGCAGCCAGTGTGAGAAAGGAAGTGAAATTACCTGGCAAGGGCAAATCCAACATGAAGAAGTCTTTCAAAACAAAAAAGTAAATTTTATAGCAAGAAAAGGTGTCATGATAAAATTCAAAGTCTTATTTTATAAGGTCAGTGTGCATTTGTTAGTTTTGATGCTTACAAAATTTCTTTTTTTTCCTCCCATATGAACATTGTGGGGAGGGCGTATAATAATCCTGTTTAGGCATTTGTTAGCTTTAGGTGCTGTTTTTGGTGCCTACCCTTTCCTCCCCTCCCCCCCCATCATTTTGATTTCTGCCATAATCTGGGACGCTTCTAAACTATATAATCTATACTTAACTTTTTTGTCCCACCTACCCCAACCTCTCTGTGTTTTTTATGATAAGCTTTGGTGCCTCCCTCTCCATTTTTCCCTTTTCCTCGGTGTCTCCTGCTTTTACCTAAACACTTGTAAAGATTTTTATATTTTTAGAATGCATCAAGAACAGGATGCTGGTCAGGTGCTGGAAATAAAAAAAGTCATTGTAGCACTGACGGAACGGTAAAGCCTCCTGCCTGGAGACTTCAGTGATAGCTATAATAATTAATCTTATTTATGAAGTTACTCCACTAATCCTCTTTCTCCAACTCTGAACAGAGACAACTTAGCTTTGGAAATAACCTTGAAACAGTGTGATCACATTTATTTCTGAAAATGGGCCACTTTTCACATTGACAGCTCACTAGCCCAGAGCATTGCAGTCCCTTCACAGCAAGCACAAGTTCTCTACACCACTTGGTTCTGACTGCAGGGGAAACACAGGACTATATTGAGTCCAATTTCCAGTGTCATCTCTGTTACCAAAAAATCAAAACGTATGAAGTCTTCTTGAGGAAATGTTTAAATATATTTTTTAATATTTGAAGCATGAGTTGTCATTTACTGTTTGCCTTTTTTATGAGGAAATGTTGGAGAGTTACAAATGTAGAACCGTTAAGTGGAAAAACATAGTTTGCTTAAATAAAATAGATTTCAGATTCATCTATGAATTTTTCCCCTTTCTTTCAATAGCACTTTTGATACCAAGCAATTGGCTTCCTTTTTGAGATATTTTAAATAAAAAGAAAAAGAAAAGTAAATGAAGCCCTACTACCTAACCCTTTTTTTTATTTGCATTTGTTTTAGTATTGAGAATTTGTACTAAAATAGTACTAGCTTTCTACTTGAGAAATATCAATTTCTGGCCCTCGTTTCTCTTCCCTGTGGCACTTAATTGTCTTAAACTCTTTGGCATACATCATCTGGGCCCCTGCGGGCTGCCAGAGGCAGAAGGTGTTTGTTTTATATTCATTCCACTGCGTCGTCTGCTGGGCCCCATCTTCAGTGTGAGTGTGGCTGGGAAACGGACTTGAGAAGACGGACCTGAGTGAGGCCGTCACCGTGTGTGATCCCATCATGCGCTCATTGGAGTTCGTGCTGCATGTAAGGCAATCTTTCCTGTTGTAAATCTTCCTTTTTTTATGTACATAATATTTTGAAAAATATGAATAAACATGAAATTTTAAAAGCTGCTGAACTGTAGCTTAAATTTCTGGTATATCCTTAGAAATAGCTAAGTGCTGCCCTTCAGTGAGTCTTTTCTACTGTCAATAGACAGCATCACTTTCCTTTTTAAATACAAGGTCCAGTTTATTTCCTTTAGAATTTATATTGATGGTAAGGTACGTTTAATACTGGTTGTTTGATTATTAAAAGATTTTTAAAAATTTTGTGTTAAGAATTATCAGATGTAGCTTAATGGTAGAGCACTTGCCTAATATGTGCAAGGCCCTAGGTTCACTCCCCAGAACCATCACATTATTTTTTTAAGATAGTAGGGTTAAGTCTTTTATAGTTAGTGAATGTTCAATGTTCAAATGATCCTTAGACTAGAAAAAAAAAAGTTACAACATTTAAAGGATAACAAATGAACTCTAAAAACAATTCTAGAAGGTAACTTTCCCCTTACTGGGATTCAGGATTAAACCCTGGAAGTGCCAGTTTACATCCCCAGCCCTTTTTATCTTGAGACAGTGTTGTCACTAAGCACCCCAAGCTTACCTTAAACCTGGGATTTTCCTGCCTCAGCCTCATCAGTAGCTAGGAACTTGATCTTAAAACGTTCACATGCGCTTAAAGGAAGCAGAGTCCTCTATAAGCCTTAGGAAACATGTAAGTTTAATCATCTCTTGGGTATAATGAAGAGGAAGTTACACGAAAATAACAGCTAAGTAATATGCCAGTACCTTTGATAATTTTTTCCCCATTATTCTTCTTTTACCTAATTTTGCTAGCCCTGCTCATGGACAGATTGATTTTTTTTTTTAAATCTTATGTTTGTTACTTATTTGGTACAGGGTCTCGGTACACAGCTCGGATACCTAGTAATCCTCTTGTCACAGCCTCCCGAGCGCTGGGATTACAGATGTGTGCCACCATGCCCAGTTTCAGTGGCTGGCACTGCGTGTCTGGGAAGCTGGGGCTGGCACAGCATGTGTATGATACAAGGGATCAAACCCAGGTCCTTGCACTTGTCAGGCAGGCACTTAGATAGCAGAGCTACACAGCCTATGAATGCATTCTTTTTTTTTTTTTTTCCTGTATTTAGGAAAAGGTCTAAAGGGTCTCACTATATAGATCAGACTCGTAGTGATTCTCCTGTTTCAGCCTCCCAAGTGTTGGGATTACAGGTGCACGCCACCATGCCCAAGTGTGGTCTCCATTGCAGTCTTCAGTGTGCCCTGCAGGTGGGGCCGGCATGGCACACCGGGGATCAAACCCCTAAGCAGGCGCCAGGCCAGCCCTCATGAATGGTTTTTTAATGCTTGCTTTAAAAAGTTTATGAAATTATTCTTCCTTAGTCTTACTTTTCCTACCCTAGCATGTCAAGAGTTAAACCAGCTATGTTCAATAACTACAGTTTAGCCAACTAAGAAAAAAAAATGTTCACTTTGAGACAGGATTTCCTGTATACTTCAGGCTGGCCTTGAACTCGTCATGTAGCCTAGGTTGGCCCCAAACTCAGTTTCTCGTCCCTCAGCCTCTCAAATGCTTGGATTACAGGTATGCGCCACTGTGCCCACCATGCCTAGAAGAAACATTTTAATCAACAGGTGTATACAGTTAAAGACTTCACTCTGGAACCTTAAAAGTCATAGTCACTACCTCTCTTAGGTTAAGCAAAAACTTAAATTTATCTGTGAAAGTTCTGTTCTTATTGGAAAAATACTAACGTATTCCTGTAGAGGTTCTGTCATTTTTCCTGTTGGAAAATGTTCTATTTTGGATTTAAATTTGTCTCAATAAAGTAGTACTGGTAGCTTTCCATTACTGTAACAAAATGTTTGGGAAACTCAATGTAGGGCAAGTGCATTTGGCTCGCAGCTTCGAGGCTTTGGTGCAGAATGAGTTGGCCTGTTGGGCTTGGACCCATGGATGGTGGTGCTGTTTAATGGCTGGTGCATGTGCTATGGGAAGCTGCTCACAGAATGGCAGCTAGGCAAAAACAAAGTGGAGTCCCAGTGTCTCCTAGGGGCACCCTGACGACCTAACTTCCACCAGGCAACACATAGCCTTGGCGGGGGTGGGGGGGTCACACAACTAAACAGCATGTTACAAATCATCATAGTGTTTGACAATAGCAAGACATTCATTGAGTCTCTTCCACATCAGGCTGTGTACATATATTATCACAAGTAACCCTAGCAACATGGTGATGTAACTGTAGTTTATTGTCCCTATTTTACAGAAAGGAAAACCGAGGCATAATGCTGTTCTGTGATTTGCTCCAGGTCACTAGAATTAGAACTCCCTTATTTTGAATACAGAGCCACTTTGATTACCTCTTTTCAGTTTTCAAACTTCAAATTTCCCCCTTCATTTTCTTCGCATCAGAAACAGCTTGGGACTGTGGGGGTAGCTCAGTGGCACAGCACCTGCTTGGTAAGCATGAGGTCATAAGTTTGATTACCAGTACCAGTAACTAAAAAGAAACAGCTTAATGCAGAAATTACTAAGTCAAGTTTGCTTATACTAATTCCATGGCTTTTGTTGTAAATTTAATAATTGGCAAAATTAGATGTATTACTGGGAAATGTTATGTAGGCAACCCAAGATTTTCTTTAAAATCCTGTATTGTTAGCGGAGTCCACTGGCTGTTTCTGCTGGCTGTCTCCACCCAAATGGTGCTAGGTTCCGAGCAGCTCATGTCTCCTTCTGAAGTTAGGTCCCAGGTTCTTCTCATCTCGAATAAAGAGTTGAAATGAGCAAAGAGCAATGGCAAAACTTATTTGAAAAGTAGAAGTGAGGAGAGAGAAACAGGCTGTGCAGAGCGAGCTTGGGCCAAGTAGAAAAAAAAAGCTTGAACATTCTAGAGAACCAGTGAGCTATCCTGAGGAAAGCCATGATAGGGAGTTCTTGGCTTCTGTGTCTTTTATATAGTCTCAAGTCTTGAGGAAACGTCTAGATAGGGATCCTCAGAGGACCTCACCGGAGTGTCAGGTCCAGGCCATCCTCTTGAAAACCTGCTCAACAAAAAACTAACACTAGGGGTTCCATTTGACCCAGCTGTGCCCCTCCTTAGTGTCTTCCCAGGAGAATTAAAAGCATGATATTGTAGTGACATATGCATACCCATGTTTACAGCGGCAGTTTGTAATAGCAAGATCTTGGAAACAGCCCAGATGCCCATCAGCTGGTGAACGGATAAAGGATGTGGTTCTTTCATACAATGGGATACTACTCTGCCATGAAGGATAAGTTTGAGAAAGTTCTAGGTAAATGTTTTTGTTTTTTTGTAGTACCAGGGATTGAACTCAGGACCCTGCACTTGCCAGGTAGGCACTTACTCTTCTGAGCTTGCACCTTGAGACCATACTCCTAGGTGAAATAAGTCAGACACGTGTGAATACTACATTGTTTCTCTGGTTTGAGGAACAAAATAAGGTCCAAAACATGTAATACATATTATGAAATAGGACAAATGTTCAAATGGGGAGAATAAGAATGGTATGGGGGGAAAGTACAAAATAAGAAAAAGGAAATAGCTACTGTAGAGGAGAGGAGGAGAGATTGAAGAGATAGAGAAATGGGACAAAACGAAGTTACCATACACATACAAATTCTCTATGATGAATATGATCCTGCATATCTTAAAATATGCCAGTAAAATCTGATTAGAGGGGAAATAAAAACCAAAAACCAAGTTTGGAAACTTTTCCATATGGGCTCCAGGATCTTGTAATAAACAGGTCACACCTCCTTCCCCAGCCAGCTTTACCATGTCCTGGTTGCCTCTGCCATCACTTGGTCATTATTGAACACGAGGTGTGGAACACTTTCTGCTTACTCTAGGTGTGTTAGTCAGCTTTCCTGTTCCTGGGACAAAATACCTGACACCCACACTTTCAAGGAAGAGAGGCTTCATTTGATTACTGAGTTCAGAGGGGTCAGTCCGGGGTCAGCTGGTTCCAAGGCAGCAACCTTGTGAATTTAGAGGAGAGAACAGAACTGTCCCTTCCTGGCAGCCAGAAACCAGAGCAGGAGGAACCCGGGACCCACCTCTTGAGCACATTCAGCTATGAGCGTAACAACAGGTTACTCCACTACCAAGTGCAGCACCCTCAGGATCGAGTCACCCTATAAAAGCCCCACCTCAACACTTGAGACTGGGCAGGGTGGGGCGCATTTTCAATCTAAACCTCAGCCTGAAAGTTGATCCTGTGAATTCTTCCAGCTCAGTAGTCCTGCCTCAGTCTCCCAAGTAGTGAGATCAAAGGTAGGCACTACCATGACCAGTTTATCAAAACTAATGTGTTGATAAGTGAATAGCTTTCTTAGGTGTTGTCAACGTGAATTTGTATTCCCTAAAGCCACCAAGAAATGTTCAGAAGGGGAGTTTCCTACTCAACTGGATTTTGTGCACATGATACTTGCTTTTAGTAATCATGAGCTGGAATTTTAGAAATCCTGCCTCTTAGACTCATTCTGAAGGAAGCCATAGTCATCTGCTGTCCTGCCATCCTGTCTCCTTTGTCTGCTTCAAACCAACAGATCTTTCCTAAAAGCCTGGAGTTTCACAACATGCTTGCTCATCCATTTACCTGGAAATTCCTCTCTCCGTCCCTTCCTCCCTCCTGAGTGCTAGGATTACACACATGCACCACCACACCAGGCTGGAAATTCAAATGTTAAACCCAAATCTCTGTTACTTATTTGTGTAACAGACTTGTTAAAACAGTATACAGAGTAAGAAATTTGGGGGGCCTGCCCCGTAGCTCATTTCTTTGAGTGGCTGTTTCAACAAAGCAGTCAGGCTCAGGTTGCTGTGGTTCGATCCCCACAACTCCAGCCAGCCAAAAATGCCCTGAAGGCATTCGGAGCAAAAAAAAGAAAATTTGTTTTTCAGACAGGGCCTTACTGCGCAGTTTGGACTGGCCTTGTGCTCACTGTTGTAGCCCCCAGGCTGGTCTGAAACTCGCAGAGATCCTCCTGTCTCAACCTCCCGAGTGCTGGGATTACAGATGCGTGTGCCA